TAACGGGTTGTTGTCTCTGATCCGTAGCTGGTGCGCAAGAAGCACGTCCTCTCCCGCCTCCAGGATGCCCTGGCCTGGCAGGCGCTGCCAGCCGTCCAGCTGCTGGCACCGGACGAGAGGGTCTGCGTTCATTTGATAGGAACTCTCTTTGGTAAGAGCTCTGCTGTGGCCTAGTACAGCAGCAGGGAGAAGGCAGGTACCTTTTTTTGAATAGAGGTATAAATGTGAAGCTTCTCCACATTTGAAACAACAACAAAAAAAAAAAGGCAAAGGAATCTTGAGGTACCTAATTCCATACTTCCACCGTTCTGCGTTAGGTGTGTTATTACTCCCTGTGGAAAACTGCCTGTCGTTTGATTTAGAATAGGTTAATTAATTTCCTTATTCACCAAGGAGGAGGATTGTAATGTCCATAAAGCTCTTGCGATTTTCCAAAGTATCTTGACGTACCTTTAAAGTCTTTCTGGAGAACAGGGAGTGCCTGGTGTATGATTCTTCCCTGAATGCCCTCCGTTCTGGTCTCATGCCTTAGTGCTTTCTCATCTTGCTGAACTGTGGCATTATATAAAGATTCATGCAGAAATGAAAATGTGAGCTTAAAAAGGTGTTGCAGGATTTAATAACAAATGTGCAAAATAGGAATCTGCATGGTGGTTTTTTCACACCATCGCATTACGCTTCTAGAAATCCTTGTAGCCTTAGGACTGTAATACCTCCTTCTTTCTGGTGGGTCAGCCTCACAGCAGAATACACTGTTCAGTGGGATGTCAGAAGGTGCCCTTCCAGTAACAGTCTCTGTGATCTTGAACATCTCTTACTGGTTTGCGTTTGCACAGCAGTGCTGTGGGAAAGGTCTTTGAAATGTCTGAAATCTTGACAGAGAAGAAATAATGGTCTAAATGAGGGAATAGTAAGGCAGGAAGAGAACGGTGGAGGGTATGAATGCAAGTGCCTTCAAAGAGCAAGTATACTGGATTCCTTTAATTCCATGATCTCATTTGCACATCACAGATAATTCTTGTTCTTTGGGGGAAAGTGACATAGAAGCCCTTTCCCCTGCCTTGACGCACTGAATAATTCAAGCAGTGTTTTCCCAGTTGATTTTCCAGCACAAACTGTGTTGTGCATGTTTTGGGAGCAGCTTTGTTAGAAATAGAACTTTGTGCAGGCTTAATTCTCTCCGTTGCACAAATTTTTGTTGAGTGCTGTCTGCACACATAGTCCTATACAGATGTGGAGGGAGTGGTGCTTATGGCCAATTCAGTCCTACGCTGTATGACCCTGACACAAAATACCCCAGAAGACAGGGGAGCTGTGCTTGCATTTCAATGCTTTTGTCTGTTTTTAAATAATTATTCTCTCTCTCTTTAAGAAGCTTTGCAATTGGATGGTTTGGGGACAGCTTTGGGATTTTACTGTACTTAGTGTAACTCCTAGAGCAGTTGGAATCCCAGTCCAAGCTTGGGGCTACAAACAATGACGTGTACATTTTGGATAGAGCTTGAATGAACCAAGGATCATTTGATGCAAGAGTGTAAGAGGGACCCCCAAAGGTTTGAGCAATGCTGCGGAGGAAATATTAATAGTAAATTCAGGAAAATACATTCATTTTTGGAGAGAGAATACTGGGACAAGCACAGGCAGAAGACAGAGGGTTAAGAGAACAGAGGTGTAGTGTGGAGTGTTACGTATGAGGAGATGGTGAATTTCAGGTAAGCCTGAATTTCATGCAGCTAATATTGCAATGTTCGCTAATGCTGTATGCAAGTCTTTTCCAAAGTGTGAGGAAGTTACTGAGGATTGGGCAGATGAGGCAGGAAATAAGTAATTTGTTCACCTGCAATGTCATAACATTGCTTTAGTTGGTCAAATTTCTGAGAGATCATGGAGTCTCCGGAGGGGAGGTAATTTGATTGGATATGTTGAAACAAGCGGTTTGGTGTGGCAGAAGTGGGGGTCTGAACCAGATGCCTGATGCTGTAGGTACCTGAAGTTGGAAGGAGGTGGGAGGTAGAGTTTCTCGTCTGTTGTGGTGCAGTAGAGTGAGGCAGTGGCTTATTTTAATATATCCAATCTTACGCTCTCGCTGTACAAATGACTTGTGAAGTGGTGCCTTCAGGTTCAATTTAACGTTTGAATAGTTTCCATATGCTTTAAACCTGGTGTTCAAATTTGGTCTTGGGATTTTCAGTACTGCGGAGGGAGAAGACTGTTTGTGGTAATTGGTATGAACGGAAGACAGAAGGGACAACTCACAGCTGGGCTCTAACTTCTGTCATTCTGAGTGTTGTTTCAGATGTAGAATGTTGGATACATGCAGCGAGATGTGGTGATGGTAGCAGTTACATATTTACTTACATAGGTGGAGCCATTGACTTCAACTATAAAGTACATTAAAAATTTGCAAGAGAACCGAATGCCTTCGTGTCCCTGTGTCCTGCTTATGGAGGGACCTTTTGCGATACTCCCTGAGAGTATCCACCTTCCTCTGACAAAGTCAGGCTGGTGTCATGTGAAGCGGGGAAAACAAAACAGTTCTGAAAAAAAATTGCAGCTCTTTTTACAAGAAGGCATTACAGCGCTGATGATCACAAACAGGAATGAGTTCCATGACTGATTGTGGTTTATCTTTTAGGGATGTTGCATACTGTGGAAGACAGCAGTGCCCTGGACCTATTCGTAGAAGGTGAGAGGCAGGTGCCACGTCTCAATTACTGACAGTTTGTGAAGGGAGGCTCTGTCTTGTCTGATACTATAGTGAGATGCTCAGCTTTTACACAGCTTGAATTAGGAAGAGCATCTATTTTCTATCAATGCAAGAGTGACAAGCAGACTGTTCCAATATTTGGGGGCAGGGGAGTGCGTGCAGATTTAAATATTTAGCATTTCTTTCACAGGTTCTGTGCGTGCCATGAATTTAGTGTCAGATGGGTAACAGTGGTAAACAATGCCTCATCTTTAGCATCTTTGGACCTGACCGAAGTCTCAAAGCAAACGGAAATCTTCTGTAGGCTTCAGTGAGCTTTGGGATCTACTGCTTTCTCCTCAGGACAGAGAGTATTTGGGATTTAGCTGTACAGGCTGCAGATTCCTCTTTGTGAGCAGTCCTTCATTTGAAACGCCTGCAGGGCTGACAAAGGAATCTCTGCAGTCCAGTTAACCTTGGGCATCTCTGCTGAGTCTAGTGATATTAGCAATGCAATCATTTCCTCCTGTCCAGCCGTGAAAGATGAAAGGAGGTGTGACCAGCTCCTTCCAGAGGGGTTTCAGTTTTCAGGCGCTTGCTTGAAATGGTGTTGAAAAGGTGAGAAGTCTTTCTGTCATGTTACCAGTCTGTTGAGAGGTGGATGCTCTCAAACAGAGGAATTTTAACTTAGTGTTACCTAGCTCTTGAAAGTTTTTAGAGATTCTGAGAGTTCAGGGCAAGAAAGGGCCATTAAACCATCTATAAATCACCTGTCTCAAGATATGCCTCCGCTGAGATGCGTAGCTCTTTAGCTAAAGTAGGTCTCCTAGATAAACCGCCAGTATTGCCCTGGATATACCAAGAGATGGTGAACCTAGAAGTCTCTGGTATTTTTTTTTATGATGCTTTCCTAGAATACAAATCAAAAGAGTTTGTTTTTCAAATGAGTCATGCCATGACAGCAAGATACATCCAAGACAGCCTTACCAAATCCTATGGAACACTGTTCTGCACAGTGTCTCAGTAAGGGGGCTATTGTCAAAACTTTATCTGCTGAACATTCAGGTGCCCAGGTTCTAAAAATGCCAGAAGAGGAACTTTGCTTCCTGTAACTGGTCCACTGGTATATGTGTGGAGGCAGGGGCAGCCTGCCAGCATCAGGCAATTCCCTTGTGATTTTGTTAGGGAAACCCAAGGTGATGTGCAGCCAGTGCCTGGTAAACATAGTTTCTTGTTGATTCCTCTTATTAGGACAGAGCTGACAGAGTTCTTAAAGTTGCAGTGAACCAAGAGTAACTGCCCTTACTTGGGGCTGAGGAGGTGAACAGTACCACAAAGGTGACTGGGGCCTTGCTTTCTGGCAATGTATATGGGATAACTGCAGTGGGGAGGAATGGCTGCTAGACTGCACTGTTACCTCAGGGACAGTAGCAGCTGGAGGAGGAGCTCTCAGTCTACATCTAAGGATACTCAGCAGTTTCAGTTCTGATTATCTTCTCTGGAAAGATATGTTTTAAAGGCCGATTTTCGTACTGTAGGAAGCCTGCTGTATTCAATTACCAGAAATTTTTACGCTTTTAAGCCAGGGCTTTGTTTCCTTCCCTTCCTGGTTCCTTATGTTTACTTGGTGTCCTGATGCTCAGTTTGTCCCTTGCCATTCATTTCCATGCATGGTTTGTAGCACAGCTAGAACAGGACTGCTGTAATGTTGCTGCAGAGAGCTCGGGCTGGGCTATCAGAAGTAATAGTGCCAGGAATGCCAATGTTACCCTGCTCTCTCAGCACCTCCGTGCTCATTTAGTTTCTAAGCTCTTTACTCACTGGTCTGCTAAAGCCCTGTGGAAGATGGATTGTGAGTGCTCTTGGGTGTGAATTGCTGATCCTGTTTCTTCTGCCTAGTTCTGGTGCGGCTTGTAGTGGAGCTGAAGTCAGAACAGTACTTACGCTGCATTTTGGATGAAAGCCAAAATGAGGTCAGTGAAGATGAATTCCCTGCCCTTCCTTTCAATCCTTCAGAGGTTGAAGAGATGGGAATGAGTGGCCCTGCAAGACTGCAGCTACTGCGCTGGGATGCAACCTCTCAGCAGTGGGATGTCCTAGGGCCAGCTCCCCTGCTGTGATTTTGGCGGTGTTGATGTCTACCCTGGAGTTTTCCTATTGTTCCCATGATGCCTTGCAGCCATATGGCTTCATGATGCTCTTGTGAAGCTGTATGGCTTCCTCAGATTCTTCTTTTCCTACCTTACTGTTTCAGTGATATGAGGAGCTTTCCCAGCCTGTGCTGTGGGCTCTTGCTCTCTTCATTCCTAAGTTTGTGATGATCCCATGGGGTACAAAAAATTGGGAAGTAGCGAAAGTGGGGAGAAGTTCAGTGGGTTCATCTGCTCATGTAAGAGCTGGAGGGGAGAGAGAGGCAAAGGAGCAACAAGCAAGAGATTTCTTGGATTAATTAAAAGACATTTTGGAGACTTAGTGGTGTGTTCAGGGCTTTCCTGTGGTTTATCCTGAGTGGTGAAGAGGGCCCAGCTTAGGAAAAGATCCTATTCTGGAGGATTATGCATCACCGAGAGCTTGCTGGTTTGGGTGCATTTCTGCCTTTGGACCACGTCCTCACCAGTGAAACATTTTCTTCTCTGTCTCCTCTACAGCTGTGCAAAGCAACTACCATGAGAGGCAGCCTGCCCACATTCACTCTCTTGGGCAAGCTGGCAGATGCCATCCCAGGCTTTGCTGATATACTGGTGATAGAGCACAGTGAGTAATGTGTCATGCCCCACTGAAGGGTAGTATTCACAGCCCTAATACACATACACATGCATGCACTCCCCTGTCACCCGTGTGAATTCATGAAGGTCACACAAGAAGCCTGTCCAGAAGTCAGAGTGGCATTCAGGCCTCCTGGGTTGCAGGTCAGTACCTTCATAGCAGGCTTGTCATTGTGCTCTTAGCCAGCCTGGCAGAACCAGCCTCTCTGAACTGGGGTTTGTGGGTCTGCCTCACAGGCAACATACATTTAGTTTTTCTTTCCTTGGTCCAGCCCCTGGGGATCTGGTGAGCAAGCTTAGCTGTTTGTGGAAGTAGCTGGGATGATGGATCTTCATATGGTGAACAGCAAGCTCCTCTAGCCATTTATTACTGTACCTCTGCTCAGAGGGACAGATGGTGGTGAGCACATCACCTAATTGTGGCATTCATTAATCTGCACACACCAGTCTGTCCAGTGGGCTTTTGCAAGTTTTCAAGGGAAATAGGTTGGTGCTTTTAAAAAGTCAGTTCATCGGTGTGAATGTTTGCCTTTCCTGTTCCTCATGCTAGGTAGTTTAGTGGATCATCTGCTGATGGGCTTGACGTACCCAAATGAAGGTATAAAGGCTGCTGTCTGCTACTTGTATGGCAAGCTGTACTCCTCTCCTGTTGGCACAGAACGGCTCTCAGCACACTTCGAAGAAAGGCTGTGTGGTCTCTTCTTGAATACCTTGGGGCGTGCGCAGACAAAGGAGCTGCAGGTTAATTGTTTGGGTAAGGCATTGCTGAGAGAAACTGCAAGGTGCAAGGGAAGGCTTAGAATGAGGAAGAAATCCTGGGCTGGTTTAGATGCTCTAATGCGGGTTGTTCCCTAGAGGAGCTTTTTGCTGCTTGTCTGAAGCAGTCGATCCTTTCTGTTACTCCATAGCAATCAAATGGCCCAGACCTGCTGCTGAGCTCCCCCAGCCCTCCATTGTCCCTCAAGCCCCACATTTGCCTAGCACTGACTAATCTTCAGAGTCTCTTCAGAGCTTGCACTGTGGCCTGGCCTGTCTCAATTTGATGTTTCATCCTCGGAACAGACCACCCCTCCAAGTGTCCGAATGCAAACACTATGCACGGACAGGTGGGTTTTGTAGAGCAGTGGGATGGAGTCTAACAAACATCATCTTCAGATGTGGGACATCATGTTATTTAGGTTAGAAAGCTAATGTGGAAGTGGCACTTTCTTGCATTTATGCTTCCAACTGCACGTATCAACTGTTGCTGGGGAGCACAATTTCAGCCTTTCTGACTTTGCTTGTTTGTAAACCATCCAGGGAATTCCTTTTTCTTGTAGGAGGTAAGCAGAAACTGGATTGCTCCTCAGATCATCTACTCAGCTACTAGAAATGGATGATGATTCCTTTGAAAGTAGAACTCTATAGCTCAGACAATACCCCTTGTGAATTTGTACTGACAAGTACTGATGATTTGCATCAATACCTGTAGCAGTGCTCTATACTTTTATACTGAGGGCTTTTTTGTGTGTATGGATATCCTTTAGCTAAACACTGCTGCTTCAGTAAGAGCCTGTGAAAGTAGAAGGGGAGGATAAATGCCAGTTCTCTAGGAAGCATTCCAGGGAAAATGTCTAGTTATTTTTGGGTCACTGACTGTAGCTTGGAGAAAAATGCAAGTCAAGAGCTCTCCCAAGAAAGAGTTTAAGGGGTGGGTACTGGAGCACAGAAGACAGTGCGAGTAGAGTGCTCCTGAGATCATGTACCACTGCACCTGCACGTCTCTGAGAAGGAACAGGGAACAGATCAGACCCAGCAAAAAGCATCAGCAACAAGGGCTTGCAAGACATGGGGCTCATGGCAGTATCTGGGGACACAATGAGAAGCAGCTCCCTAAGTGGGAGGTGAGGGCCTTTGTTAGCGCAGGAAAGGGGAGGAAGTTGGCAACAAGTCTTAGGCTGTAAATACTCCTGTGTTAATATAATCCTTGCTATGCCCAGCATGGTGCTCACTCTTGCTCCTCCTTTTGCAGGTTTGCTGAAGGAGCTGCTGAAATCTGACCATTTTGTATCCATTCTTATGAATAATTCAAAGACAGCAGAGGAGTCTGAGAATCCTGACTTTTTAGAAGGGGAAAATCCACTGCCACTTGTCCTCAAAAGGGTGATTGCTGAAGTAATAGTGAATTGTCAGTAGACATAAAGAGTTTGCTGGCCTGTGTTGAATCTTTATCTGAGGCACTCGAGTATGCTGTTGCCAACACCAGCAATAGAGGCTGCAGTGGAAAATGGGGACACCCCCATAGATCACGTCGTTGTTCATTCCTGCATCCTGGAGGGAGGAAATTTTAGTCCTGGCCTCAGCTGATTTTACTCACTCACACTTGAGGTCTGATACAGCACTTGTAGTGCCAACATGACTAAGCATGGGGGCAGAGCTATTCTTACTCATAATCTTCTCTGTTGTGGTTCTCATTTTGCATTTTTTTGAGCTTATTTGGTCCAGTGTTTTAGCTTGCCTTAGCAAGTTTAATCCATGAAATATATGCCAAAAGAGAGATCTTCATTTATGTTTTAAATTTAAAAATGTAGAGGAAACTATTTCCTACTCATATCTGCATAGTTGACTTTCTCATTTCAACTTTTGTTTCCCAACAGCTTTTGTTGACCAGAGATGAGATGTTACAGGCAGCAAGTTCTCACTGCGTGGCTGCAGTGCTGGTTCACTCTCCCAGCAGATATGCTCCTGCTTTTATCCATGCGGATGTCCCAGGTGAAGAAATGAATAGCATCTTACTGTTCATCTCCCAATATCAAAGCACTCCCTGGCTGTTTGTTTTAGGAATCCACCAATGGCATAATGTGTGTGGTGACCATTTTATACCAATAAAAATGGCTAATGTGATTTTAGGAATAGAAGGGGAGAGTAAGTTTTCAACTGAAAGTATCAAAGCAGCTGTCAACAGGCAGAATGGCGTTTCCACAGCAAGAATTTGGACAAGTCCTTGAGGTCAAGGTCCTTCTTGCAGGACCTTAGATACAAGCCTAAACAGACTGGGATTCCATCTTATCCCACTAAATATCGTAAGTTTGCACAGAATTTGGTCTAGGATTTAGCTTTAGAATGCGGTTGTGGGAGATGGTTTATTATTTCTCTGTAATCCCAAAAGACAGGAATGCTTTAATTTTATGAATTCTTTGGGAGATGGAAAAGTTCTGAGGAAGAAAGAGATTGCTGCATCTCTGGTAAAGTTTGCTTTGTGGCTTTTCATTTGTGCCAAAGGCTAGAGCCGCAGTTCAGCTCCTGCCTGCTGAGTTTGTGCTAGGAAGATGCCTGCCTGCGGGACTCTGCTCTCCAGTCACCTTGTTTTGAAGACTAGCATGCCCCCAAGCATCTACTCCGTTCTCCATTCCTGCCATTTCATAATATAACCGTTCTCCCTGTGGCTGTTGCTATGCTTCCTTGTTTCCTCCTCCTTCCTCTGCTCTGTTCTAGGAGCAGCTGTGCCATGCTGTGAGCAGACTGCCTTTTACCAGGGTGACCTTATTTGTGTGTGTGTTTGCAGAATTCCTGTTTGAGTGTCTCCTGTGCAACAGTGAAATTCTCATCTGGTCAGTGTATTGCTGCCTGCTCCTCCTAACTGAAGAGCGCCTTTTCTTCTCAAAGTGTCACACAGTCTATGGTGAGTCATGAACCTTTCTGACTGAGTGACTGCAGTAATAGTGTGGGCATTTGTTGTGCCTCTAGCTGAATTTCAACACTTTACACACAATCACAATTTCCAGTCAGGATGGATAAAGGACTGAAAATGAGTACCTATCAGACATGTTTGTGATGTCCAACATAGCTTGAATTTACAGTGTCACTGTTCTAACGAGTTTCTGATGAGCATGCATTCGTTATAATAGCCAATTATCAGGACTGACACTACCTAAGTTACTATTAGGTGTTTCTGTGGACATGCCAAGAATGGATTTAGGAAGAAAGGCTAAATTCCTTACGTTCTTCTGGACTTACCTCCAGCAGTGGAGGTTGGGGCCTATTATCAGTTGGGGCCTATTATCAGGGAGCTGAGTGAACAGTCAGCAGTTTTGGGCAGTTGTTTCTGTCAGTGGCCGAGAAAAATAATTGTTCAAATCATCCTTCCTTTTATAAATTAATTTTGCTTCCATCCTGGAATTTGGGGTGTTAAAAGCCCTCTCTGTGACTTCTCTTGAACATGTGCAGGCATTGAATCTCTGGTGAGGAGTCTCCAAGATGTCTTGCAGCTGAACAATGTGGAGTTGCACAAACAAGGGCTCCTGCTCTTCACTGAAATACTGAAACGGTAAGGGAGTACCCCCATCAGGCTTGCACAGACAGAGTTTGGTACTCTAAAATGGAGGCTGTGGTGCTTTTGCTTTTTAAGGTTTTTGTCCGAGACCAAGTATCTACAGCCCCAGAGCCTTTGTGTTTGAAAGACGTTGCTGAACAAGTGCATCTCCCTTATTCTTGTGAAGAAGGGCCTGATGGTTGTTTCTGAACCTCCCAGCTTGTCCTCTTTGCGCACGCATCCATCAGTATATCTGCCTCTTCCTGCTTCCTTGCTAATCTGGGAGGTGAAATCTCCTTTCAGCTGTAGATAGAGTAGGAGGGAAGGCTAGGAAGGTCCAGGCTTATGTCAGCAGGCCAGCTCCTGCTAAGTGCGCCTCTGTGACAAGACAGAGGATGCAAATTCCATGGCTTCTAGTCTTGTATCATCATCTGAGCTAAATTCAAACAGCAAAAACAAATTCTAGGCTGAAATATTAATGTCTTCTGTCACTTTTTTCCTCGTTTTCTGCTAAGGAATAACATACCCTGGCTTGTTTTTCTTCTGTGCTTCCTGTTCTTGCCTCTATGATCTTGTTCCCATCCTGTCATGCTAGTGACAGAGTCTTGTTTTTGCCACTTAGTTCCCCCAAGAGAGCCCTTGAGCTGAATTTTGGAAATGTCATATTCAATTTTGTAGCAAGTGGCAGGGTAAAAAGGAGAAGGAAAAGCAGCAGTGCTAGAACAGTGTGATGATGCCAGTGTGGGATCTGTCAAAAAGAGAAACCAGGATGTGGGAAACACTAATTACAGCGTTTATGCTTGTAAAATAAAGAGAACGCTCTGTGCAATTACTCTCATTTTCTAGCACACCCATTCTGTTTCTCTGAGCTTTGCCTTAGAAACTGTTTCATAGTGGGGAAAAAGGGTCTCATCCTCTTGGTTTTTCCTTGCAGCTGGATTCTCTTGTGTAAGCGAGCCCCACACACTGGTGTTCTCCAAGCAGAACGTACTGCTCCCCTTGGCAGTATGTCAGGAATGGTGGGTGGCTCTCCCTGGAGTGCCCCTTGTGTCTCCCAGCACAAACAGAGTGGCAGGCACAGTTTGGGGCCCAAAGATGAGAGGCTGCAGGAAGCTGCAAGAGTGCTGTCCGTCACGCTTTTCTCCCAGGCCCCAAAGGCATCATAGTGCACCATATTGCAAGTGGGTTTGTGCCTCTTGAATGAGTCAGCAATACTCCTCCATCCCTTCCTCCCTGCATGAGTCAGTGAAGACTTTTTTTTTTCCCTGATGTGTTTTACTTCAGAAGGTCAGCAATTAAAGAAGGGAAATACAGAGGACTAATAGAATTACAGTGTAAGTAGAAACAATTTGGAAGTTCAGCACACCACTTATGGCTTGGGCCAGAGGGTGCTCCTGGTGCCCGAGTTCCACAAGGCCTTTTCCTTGCCTTGCCCACCTCACAGCTTTTTCTCACAGCAGAACGTGAGGTGACTGCCAAGCTGGGTTTCATCCCACTGAGTGACTAAAAAGAGTGGTTCTGCCTCTGTTCTCTTTTTGCCCTGTAGCTGGGCTACCAGTGTAATTTCTACTGAAGTTCACTTTCCTCTCCCATTTGTGCATGGGAGCATGTGCTCCTGGCTTGCTTTAGTCAGGCACGTCTGTGAAAACTGAGTAACAGGGAATACATTTGACTCCCAAGTCTGGCTCCTGTCATGCCATGCTGCTTTTCTTGCTTTACTTCAGAGAGGCCCGCTGGCAGGCTGTTAGTGCCTGTTGTCCGCATGTAGCTGCCTGTCTTCCCCCCACCTTCCTGACTGTACGTGATGTGCCAGGAGCCAAATGAGCACAGTCTGCCATTTACACAGCTCTGTCCGATAATGGGATTAATGGCTTGTCATCCCTCCGTGCTCTTGTGCTGACTGCTCAAAGGTGTTGGGCCACAAGGTGATCAGATGACCAAAATGCTCACTATCAAGAAGAATTGTCAAAACAGTTGGATTGTGTTTATTTTCCTGATTACTTTACAAGTTCATGAAAGTCCCTGTCCTTCTGGCAGCATCTGGCATTAGAAGTGCTATAGGACTGTGAAAGAAACTATTCTTATGGCATCGTCCTTTTTCTAGGATGGTGGTGTTTGCTTGTTTACTCAGAAATATGAATTGCCAGATGAACCCACAAATGCCAGAGCAGATGGCCTCAGCATAAAGTCCTAGGCAGAGAGATCACTGTATTTTGCAAAGCCTGTTTTTCTTGTGCTTTTCATGTGAGTGTTCGCTGGTGCGGTCACACAGTTATCCAGGCTGTGGGTTTTTTTCATCATAGCAGGGCTCCAGACCTGCTGAAGTTCACTCTTTGTAGCAAACCCTCCACCTGCTCAAGGTTGAGACTACCTCCTTGAGAGCAGCTGGCTCTGAATACTGAAAAGCATGGCTGGAACCACACAGCTCAGCAGTCCATTTGGTGAAATGAGGAGAGGGCACTACAGTTACTTAACTCTAACAATATTCTCCTTGCTTACTCTGTTTCCTCTTCGCAGGCAACCAGTGGAAATCAAATTATTCACAAACCGAGGTGTGTGTATAGAAGCCATTGATGTTTTGATAGAGACAGTGAACTGCCCAGTGCTGGAGGTGGTAGTGGAGGCTGTGAGAGCTGTGGCAGCTTTCCTGAGGTAGGCAGGAAAGTATTTGCAGGCTTTTCTTCATATAGATCTGTTGATACCATGCTGGTCTCTGCGGCTCCCCTGTGGCTGTGTGGGTGAGTGCGCTCTGCAGTGGGACTTCTGGCTGAGACAGGCGTGGGTACAGCAGAGCTAGCTTCCCACCCGCCTCAAAAGGCTGCCAGGGCAATGAAGCTGTGGTAGGCAGCAAGCTGCTGCAGCAAGGACCTAGCGTCCCAGCCAGGCTTGTACTGTGGCTGCTGTGGCTTTGTCACTCTCTGCCCCAACTGGATAGATGAGAGCAAGCATAAGACTCTGTACAGTCATATGCTTCCTGACTGTAGTGGGAGTGGACAGTGAGGGTGTGTTTGGGTGCACGTGTGGATGAAGGCACTGTTCAGATATTGTGACCTTAGTATGCTGTGCTGGAGAGAAGTGGCAATGGCATATTGCTGTCAGAAGAGCAGTTATTTCTGCTGGTGTTGCCTTCCCAGGTGAAATGTCCCCAGCAGGGAATGTGCATACTGTCTTTGTCTCCGCTTGTTCAGGAAGGACCATCTGAGCTCCCCTCCAGTCCCATATGAAGAGCTGCAGAAGCTGCTGGAGGCAGTGCTGAAGCGATGTGCTGACCTTTCCCCACCACAAAGTAGCAAGAGGCATGCAGTAAGTCAAAAGTTGTTGTTGCTTGTTGGTAGGACCAAGCAGGACAGGGATGATCCTCCTAGCACACTATGTGATGTTGTATATATGTTCCATCCCCTTACCCTACGGCTGTTGGGTTCTCTGGTGTTTCTTTTGATCCTCATGCCTTGAGATGGTATGAATCTTTGTCTTTGAAGTAGCTGAAGATGGATCCTGGTGAATGTTGTCTTTCTAAATCAATGAAGATTTGTGGGGCACCGCTTGAGCACGCTGCTCTCTTTATGTGTCCAGTACTCCAAAGTAATTTCAACTTCCCCTTCTTCAGGCCCCCACCTTGTAGACTGCGTCAGTCAATCTATTGTTTTGGCAATGAACATCTCTTGCTGTGCCTTCAGACTAAGAGGGTCATCATATATGCACTGTGATACCTCAGCAAGGGAGCTGTTAGCCACTCTTTGAACTGCAAATCCTTTCCTGTTCCTGGAATACGTAGGTAGTGTGATGTGCTGGTGGGACCTATGCACTTCTGAGGAGACCCCCCATTACAGATGGCTAGTGAAAGGCTAGCCCCCCATTACAGTGGCTCAGTGAAGGGCTGAGCCTTCTTGCTGTAGGCTTAGAGCCATGTAGGTTTAGATCACACGTCTGTAGTGGCAAGAGCATCTTGCTGGAGTACCAGAGCTCCAAGTGCCTGATGAACTATCTTTAGGCCCAAGTTCTGTGGTACCAGATGTCTGTCTTCTCTGCCTGGAGAAGGCAGAACTGCTTTCTGCCCCACAGGCAGATGTTGGTCAGTCTGTTTGCACACAAGTTTGCTTGGTGTCCCATTCAGAATAAGGAGCTTTGCAGGAAGGAAATTAGGCAGATAGTAAGGACATTCAGGCTATCTTTAAAGGGAGAAAAGGGGAAATGATTGTACCTGTACTAAGGTATCTCAGCATCAAATGGAGAAGGAGAAGGAGTTCTGAACTGCCAGGCACCAATGTGTCGCCGTGCCCTCCTGTGGTAGTATTCGGAGAAGACCACCACAACAGGTTAAGGCTTAAAGGCAGATTTTGAGTTCCAAGTGGTTCCCGGTTTGGGCAAATGATTAACTCTGACGCTGCAGTTGGCTTCTGGCTGAACTCAGTAGGATGCTGTGTGGGAGCAAGAGCTAGTACATGGGTAGTTGCTTACAAATCTGAGCCAAAGTAGAGAACTTGTAAGATTTCACTGCTGAGCAAGGAGAGGAACTGTTCAGCGTTGTCTGAAGAGTGATTGGAAGAAACAAAATTGAAAGAAATACCAGGTTTTCCCAGAATGGTTTGAAGCTCCGTTAGCTGAGCTCTTTAAAACTCAGATTAGACCAAACCATGGTAATACAGACCATAAAGGCAGGGTGGTGCAGAACTAGTAGCTCTGTAACTCTGTCCTCCCTAGGAAGAGCACAAAAGCTCTCTAACACTGTCCTCCCTGGGGAAAGCATAACAGTAAAAAAACAGTTATGTGAAAGAAGTCAGTGAAGTGAAATCTGTTGTTCCTCCTGCTGCTGGTATCAGAGAAGAAAGCTATTTTTTCCAACAGTGAACATAAGATTTTTAAAGACTTCTCTCCTTTAACAGGGTGATCTCCTATTCTCAGTGTCTCAGAGTCACCCAGCAAACAGAACTCTCAGCAGAGTTCCTCAGAGACAGGGCCAGTTCTTGCTCAACACCCTGGAAAGTTTCAGAAATGCTTGCAGGTGAGGACAAGTCAGGGGGGTGGGCAGGTGGGTGGTGTGTGTGTCCATGTCCATCCATCCTTCTGTCCTTGTAACTGAGTTCCTCTACCCAACCCCACCACTGGGGTTGGTACTTGTCAGTGAAACAACAGAAGGAGGGATATATAGTGATAGTGAAAATTTTGTGACACCTGTATGTGTCTCCCAAGAAATTTGCCTGGGACCTATCAGTTTATTTTATGTCTTTGATGTTTGAGGAACTGCTTGAAAATTAGCCAAAACTACTGACAATGTAAGAACTGTTGGAAGGTATGTGTGAAACCATATTCCTGTGCCCTGGGGTATGTGGTCTTACTGCCAGAGGGGATTAACCATTTAACAAATGTGTATCTGCTCCAGATGCTGGCCTTGGATTTGCTCATGTCTGTGACCTGTTACTGCAGGCGGGTTTATAGGCACCAACTTTTCCTGTTTTGCTGGATGAGAGCTATCTGTCACCCTTAGCTGCACAGCAGACGGTGGTAGATGAGTTTGTGTATGAATCTGGATCTGTTGTTAGGAAAGTCTGGCCAACTTAGTTATTTTGCCTTGCATCACTTGCATTTGGCTTGGCTGAGATAATTCAGTCAGAAGCAGGTGTCCCTGTCTGCACTGACCCAGTGTCTTGGGGTGGTGTTAGAGGGCACTCGGGTTCTGTCATGGTTTTTAGATCAGCTGAATGGTCCCCTGGCTGACTTTCATGAGGTTTGCTGTATTGTGCTCCAGGCACTCTGGCCTGGCTGAGAACCTTTAGTCTTGCCACACTAGGGCTTCCCACAGCAGATACTTTCTTCACAGAAGCTAAGTCTTCCTTTCCCAACTTGTACTGTTGTGCAACATTGCTGACTTTTAATAGCTTCACTCAAGAGGTAACTCTGCGTGATTGCCAGATTCCTGTGCTTCCAACCCATCAAGTGTTTGTGGGGTCCTTAATGGTGAAAGTTGTGATGGAAATGTAGTATCTCCTGACTTCCTTTACAGAGTGAGGAGGATTCCTCTCTCCTCTGATATCTGCTGTGTGTTTGTAGGTTAGCAGTGGAATTCCAGAGTGACTCCATGGCCCAGGAGAACGCTTTCACTGCCCCCAACTCTGAGAGCAAGGACACACTGAGCAACTTCTCTGAGTTCCTCTTGAGGATTTGTGACAGTCTCTGCATCCCCATGGTCATGGTAGGGTTTCTTTTGAACTTGGTCTATTCCTTGGGTACCTGGAAAGGTGCTTTCAAGCACCAAGAGTGGGTTGCACAAGTGGTTTTTTTGGGAAGAGAGTATGTAGAGTAAACCAAGAACAGCTGTGGCATTTGCTACCTCTCCAGAGCCAAATGTGGCATTATACAGTTCATGCAAAATGGGCGTGTATGGTCTCAGAGGGTGGAGAAATTCATAAAGCTTCCATGTAGATGGCAGTGTCTTTCTTCAGACTCTGCAATCCCCATAGCCTACCTGCCATGCTATCTAATCCATGGCAGCTCTGGATGTTGCAGAAAATGAAGAGTGCCTGAACTGTTGTTTCCCCTTCTGCCACTTTTTCAAAACTTGCCTGTGTCCCAGAAAGCAGTGGCATTTTGTGCCTGCAATTTCGTTTTCATGCTTCTTTCCAGAAGGTATTGATGAGGCTGCCCAGTCTACACAGCAAGGGCAGTACTAAGCATTGTGCCTTGGTAAGGCCAGGGACATGGGTTAAAAAGGAGCTGTGGAGGGTCGCTTGTGCTTTAGTACTCCATACAGACCTGTCACTAAGATACTTCGAGCAGAATTGTCAAAACAGTGGGACTCTGGTTGTGGTTCCAAATGTTGAGTAAATTTTGCTTGTGCTTTGCCACAGGTTCAGGTGTATGGATTCTTGCAGTTGTTGGGAGCTTGGAGATGTTTTGTTTTGTGTTTTCTTAACCAGTCTCTTGGTAGGCAGCTGCAGTGGCATTGCTGTTCTCCTCCCTGAAGGGAGGGTGTGGTGCATGTCCAGTTTGGCAAAGCTGGAGTCAGTGTGCTGTTTCTTGCTCATTGAACCTGGGTAAAAATCAATGGACTGTGAGAGAATTGTCCAGTGACCTTCTACAAGAGTGAACTGAGTCATTCTGTTCTAAACAGTTTAGGGCTGGACTCTGTAGAGAGCCTGTGTTTGCCACCACTCAATAAAATGCTGAAGCACAGGTGTTAAGTGTTACTGAAGTCAGCTGCACTTAAGCATATGTTCTATCTTGTATGCCATGCTGGAGAATTAGCCATCTGACCTGTAAGAGCAGTTACTTCCAGGGCAATATGGGCAGCAATGTCAGTCGCTGTGCATTAAGGCCTAACTGGTTGCCAGCTGGAATCAGGAAGAAGTTTCTTGTTTGATGTAACGTCTTGCAGAGTTAGCAGCACCGCTCATAACGTTGGCAGAGCAGAGTGTTAGTTGCTTTCAAAGTGCTCTGTAAGCCTGTGTACTTGCTGCCAGGCACTTTGGTAGAAGAACTGTTACTCCATATGTTTGGATTTAGAAATCAAACTTTCTGGGTGGGCAGGAGGCCGGAAGAAAGCTGCTGCTTTCAGTGTTTATTGCATATCATGCACCTGATCTTTTCTTCTTTTCACAGAACTACCTGGAAAGGGCTGTCAGCCCATCAGTGATGGAGGTTTTCATCTCAACACTTAATACCCTCTTTACAGTGGTGCCAAACATGCGGAATAAGTTCTCCAAAAAGCTGGGTATGGGGGTAGTGTGGGATCATGTTCTCTGTGCTCTTAACTTAACTGATGGAACTTGCTGCTACTGCATATTACTGAGGCAATGAGCTTAACGAGACTTTATGTGGAGGATTGTATTACATGTTTATATGAGTAAGAATAGAGTGCGCAGTCATGTTCAGCAGGATGAAAAAGTTATTTGGTCTAGCAATGATGATGGGACAGATTTTATTTTAGATAAGTTGTGTCAGCTTTACCCTTTCCTCTGGAATATTCAGAATTGGCTGTTCCTGTAGACAGGATTATGCTGGAATTGTTGGTGGGATTTTACTATGTAGGAATCCTATTTACTCTATGTATTCCTTACTCTTTGCACATCAGAGAGGTGATGTAGAGAATTCCTCTATTCTAAACACGTGAAGCTGGCAAATCTTCCCTTCTCCTCCTGAGAAAACAAATCAATCTCAGATACTCCCCTCCAAACCAAACTTGGAGTAGTTTGCTTTGGGAGAGAAAGCCTAACAAACGTATTCTTACTGAGACGGCCTGCCCTGTTCACCAGGTTTGCGTGGAGATGTGTGGGGATGGTTATGGGACCTGCCTACTCTTTTCCCTTATTGTACACGTGGTCTAGCAGATGATGGGACAGATTTTATTTTAGATAAGTTGTGTCAGCTTTACCCTTTCCTCTGGAATATTCAGAATTGGCTGTTCCTGTAGACAGGATTATGCTGGAATTGTTGGTGGGATTTTACTATGTAGGAATCCTATTTACTCTATGTATTCCTTACTCTTTGCACATCAGAGAGGTGATGTAGAGAATTCCTCTATTCTAAACACGTGAAGCTGGCAAATCTTCCCTTCTCCTCCTGAGAAAACAAATCAATCTCAGATACTCCCCTCCAAACCAAACTTGGAGTAGTTTGCTTTGGGAGAGAAAGCCTAACAAACGTATTCTTACTGAGACGGCCTGCCCTGTTCACCAGGTTTGCGTGGAGATGTGTGGGGATGGTTATGGGACCTGCCTACTCTTTTCCCTTATTGTACACGTTCTGTGCTCCTTTGACATTTTTGTCTTGCTTTCTGTTTAGCATCCTGCTCCTTCATCCGGCTGACACTGGAGCTGAAGGCCAGATTTTGCTCTGTACAAAGGTATTGTGATGTGTGTATTGTGAGCGAGTCAAAAATTTCCAGATGGGAAAGCAGATCATGCCTTATCTAATGCACCTGATTAGGCAAGATGGGAGGCTGAAAGACTCAAGAGTGGTTGTATCTTATTACAAAATGTAAATGGTAACTGACAATGGAAAAGCTGGATGTGGGAGAAGGGAGAAGCAGTTGGGTAGGGGGCGGGTGGATTTATACAGCGTTGTGAGAATTCTGTGCTCTGTCATGAGCTGTGCAGATAGAGATAAAGCAGCCTGACTTTGGAGTAGTCAAATCAGTGGGTGTTTTGAAAAGAAGTAGCAGTAGCATCAGTTCCATCTGAGCTCTGGCTTCCTAGGCCCGTATTACCACTATCTTTGTTGCTCATGGTGTGATAATGTATAAGAAATGAGAGGGAGGAGGAAGACTTCAACAGCAGACATTGCAAAGGGTCTTCAGTAGCAGAGGCTATGATTTCTAGGTTGAGAAGCACCTGGGGAGACTTTCTGTGGGTCTGCAGAGATGTTTTACCTCCTCTTTCCTGTGACTGCATCTCATTAAAAGAGTAAATAAAATACACAGCACCCCTAGTCCAGGTTACCACTGTGGAACTTAGAGTGAGGATGTTTGTGCCTGTCAATGGTGTGTGTGTGGGGGGATCTAGGCCTCTGAATACAGTAGTGTGGGGCACCAAGGATGGCATGTTACAGTGCAAAGATGTTTGGTTATGTCCTATTCTGCAAGGAAATCACTGGAGAGAGAGAAATAGAGCTGTTCTCACCCTTTTAGTTAACATTTTGGCATTCTTCTTTGTTCATCCCTGGAAACACCATTGCTACAAAATCTCATTACTGGTGTTTGCAGTGGAATCAGGTATCGCGAGCCACCCTCAAACACCTCCCATTCTCTGCAGTGTTAGGGGTCCTGCCCTTACAGGACTCCCCGTGTGTACCAGGTATGATGATTGTGAGAGTACCCCACTGTATTCATATTGTCCCAAGGTATGTGAACACATTCACTGTCGTCACCGCGCACACCTGCCACATCTGTGAGCTGACTTTGTGAAGTTCCTTTGGGAACTTCTCATTTTCTTGGAAGCCCGGGTTGGCTCCTGGAGTCTTGTTGTGATGGGGCAGGTGCTTATATGTGATCATTAAACTGAGGCTCTGGCAGACAGTGTGTGATATTAGAAGTATGAAGAGGATGTTTCTAGCCTTCTTCACTGTATCTTTCTGCTCTTCTTCACAGTAATCCTGCCTTGAATCAGGCCTGTTCCAGCTTCCTCTGCAGCTTGTGCCTGAGCCTTTACTCTGCCACAGAGAAGGAGAGAACTTCTTCTCAGGAGGGCAAGTCTGGGGAAAGAGACAAATTGCTTTATTTAGTTTGAGGCCCTGCCACCCTCTATTTAGGCAATAGGTGCAAAAATAATAAAAAAAAAGACAAAGGAGGAGGGAAAGGAGGACACACATAAGCCCTATTTAAAGATTTTTTTTTTTCCCCCAGCTTTTTTTTAAGATGGTCCAGCAAGGAGATAACACTCAGAGAATGCCTTTTGAAGAGTTTGGAACCCTACCTGAAAGGATATGTTTCATCCGCCTATGGTTTTGTTTACATGGTGACATTTATTAGTACAACTGTGCATGGCTTAATTGAAACACTATTACTTGCCACATAGTCACCCTTATCTGCAGATTAAGGTCATTTTTTCCTCTGGCATACTCTATAAAGCTTTCCTGTCTGTACTGTAACTTTCCACAATAGGTAAGTCCCAAATAAATGAGATTAAAGTTTCCACATCACAAAAGCCACTTTTCCCACTGGCAGTAGTCACCGTACAGGCAGCATCAGCAAAGAGCTGGGAACCTCAAACAGAAGTGTCTTTTCATCCTCAAAGCCAACTCCATTAAATCATGTCTCACACCTCTATTCATTCCAAATCATAGAGGTGCACTTGCTGTATGCAGGCTGTGGGGTAGTAGGTTGGCTTTGATATTTCTTACATCAGGAGCTTCCCTAATTTAACGTGCTTGAGTTAGGGCGGGCAGATGCTTCCATTTCCCTGTTCCACTCTGCTTTGTTGTAGACATTCCTTATCACTGCCTGCCTGCTCATACTAGTTTTATTTCTAGAGCAAGAGATGTCTGAGCTCCTGCAGAAGGGTCTGCCTCAATTAAACTATACCGTTGCTGAAAGCCTTCTCCTCCTGGCTGAAACCCCTGAGCCTTTCTCTTTGGATCAGTCTCTTTGCAGCCACCAGCATTGCTTCATACTACTCTTACACTTTGCCTACACCCTTGGGGACAGGTGAGCCAAGAGTATACAAGGCAAGTGGTTTTGTGGCCATTACATACCATGTATGGGTGGGTAAGGCATGTCTAATGTTCTTGTTTCCACTCCAATCTCCTTGAATGCAGGTTTGTCCCAGAAGCAGACTTATTTTTAGCCATAAGAAATTTCCTCCTATCAGCACAAGACCATGGAGTCTGTCCCCCTCCATACATACTCAGAGCTGCACTTTACCTCCTTGCTGTCTGTCAGGACAAAGGCAAAGTCCTGGACTTGGTAAAAGAAGATTTCATTCCTACCTCTTGGACCATTTTTGTTGAAACTAAGGTTTCTCCCCACTCCCATCAACCCTCTTGCAGAAAGTATTTTGACACAGGTGGTGAGTGGTGAATGAGTGAAGAGAGTGCAGTGCATCTACACTCTGGAAAGTTAACTGTGAAAAGCCACTAGGGAATATAGATTTGACTGAATAAACTTGTGTATGTGTGGGAAGTGTAAATGCGTTGGATAGGCTGTGAATTCACATACGGAATATAATAAATTTCATAGCTTCAGTCTCCTGAACACATCTACAGCCTCTGCAGCAGGCTTTCTAGTGTTCCCATATGGCTCTTTGCTGCTGCACAGCTTTGAGCACTGTATAAAGCCTACAAGTTTCTTAGCTTTTGTGATGCAAATGGGCTTCACAAAATGATGTTTAACTGATATAATTGATTGTCTACTTAAAAGACAGTGTGACTGTTTCTCACAGTAAACTCTCATCACTTCAGCTTTTCGATATTCAGTATCTAGTGATTATTTTGTTCTCTCTCCCCCTCCCCCTTTCCCTCCCACACACTTACCAGAGGTCATTGTGTACCCTAAGGAGGATCCTGGATAATCTTCCAGATCTGAGCTTGGTCTACGTCCATTGTCCTCTCCTGCTGAAATTCTTCCTGCGCTACCCTGAACTTATGGGGAGATTTGGACATCAGGTCCTCCAACTCTGGTTTTCCTGGGGAGACTGCAAGCAAACTGAAACTGAAGAAGCCGGTTTTGGCATGTCTGATCAGCTGAACAGTGCTAACCCATTACTTCCCATTCTGAAGAGCAATTCCAGCATTTTACTTATTTTACTGGTATGTGACTTTCACAAGGACAGGCTGCTATCCTGGCCCTGATTTAGGGGGCTTTTTGGTTCTTAAAGCTCTTAGTGCTGTTATGAGGCCAAGGATTCTGCTAGAAGGGCCCATGTGTGTATACGCAGACTTCTACCTCCCAGGGAAGCCTGATATGGAAAATGGGACTGTGTATGTGTGTTAGCTCTTTCTCTGTCATCCATCCACTGTGATAGAAAGGGATCTTTTGAGAGTTGGCTAGGAAGGGATCTGAAGGGTGCTGCTGATGTATGCCATGAAAAACCCCATTCCTTTCTCTATCCAGGTATACAACTGGGTACTCCAGATTCTTCTGTGGCAGCCTTTCAAGAAGCTGTTTTGCTAATTTGGGAGCAATGGTTTACTACTGACAGATGAGAAGGGTATGAGGAGCAAAGAACTTTGAAAAAGCAGCATGCAGAAAACAGGTCTTGAGGGCATGGCTTTCTGTTTGCTCGGAGTTTTAATTTTGTTTGTTTTTTAACTGGAGAGTCTTGTCAGAGATTTTTGCAGTACTCTTGAGTTTTCAAGACTGCAAATAGCATGTTTTATTGCTCTTAAAAGATACAATAAAAATCTTGGAGCAGGGAAAATTAATCAGTGCAGGGCAGAAAGGGACCTTGAAGTAGCAGGACTAGTGTGTTTGCCTTTAGCTGGTGTAATGAGCTCTCTTAACCTACGTAATCATGACAGAATCCAGGTCCTGATGGCTGCTCAGAGGCCTTCTCTCACTTCCACGTCTCCCACCTGCCCTGTCACCCCTCCCCATCAGTGGCCACTTGTCCCATGACTGTTCAGCCAGTCACATAGTAAATACTTGCTAACATTTCCACACAAGAACATGAGATTTGCCTGTAAGGGCAAAAGCTAAGAGCTGTGATGTTTCTTCTCCAGCCTGTTAGAGAAATTAAAGCTATGTATCACTGAGAATAGAAACCCATGTCATCAGGCAGTGAAGAAGCAAGGTTTGGTTCTGAGTGGACACCTATTGGGCATTACAGACTGGCATGTATTTGTTCTGATCTAAGAGGCTGTGAAGTAAATTTTAGTATCCCAGGTTACTGAAATGACTGACAGGAGGGCTGTCGCATAGGGCAGTTCTTTCACAGTTAGGGTGATATTGCAGAGTAGCTAGCAACATCCAGGCATTTGACACCATTGCAGAGGATTAGTAAAAGTGATCAGTGAGTTGACATACCAGTACAAATTAAGGAGGAGAAGTGTCCCATGAGACTTGCCTACGCTGTTACCTTTGGCAGTAGTTCTGGAACCTTCATAAACTAAAGCAGATGTATACATCACAGGTCTATCAATAAGCAAAAGAGAAACAGTGGCTCCTTCCCTGAATGGTACAGCATTCCTGCTTTTCCTTTTCTGTCTTGCCATGTGCTCTTGCAGTAATAAATTAATTTAGCTCTGTCCCGGTCTTTAAAGTCAGTTGTAATAAATCACAGGCTTTGACAATTCACCTTTCAGTTGGGGAAAGGCATAATCAATCTGAATTTAGATGGGCTAATAAAACAGTGCAATATTCTGGGATAAATATACTGTCAGATGTAAACAAAACTTATGAGGTGAATAACCTCAGCCTGAGAATGCACTAGTAAAATGGAAAGGCCTCTGCATGGTACAGTGAAACAAAAATGAATGTCCTTCCAAGGATAATTTATTTGCTTATCTGCTTTTAATAATTGTCTGGATTAGATAGAACAGATGGTTAGTGGCTTCATCTGAGACCTTGAGCTCCTGAGTAGGAAGGAAGATGTTAACACAGTGATGCATTTACCAGGACCAGGAAGGCTGTGGCCCTTGGTTAGTGCCATTTTGTGCTGTGTGTGTTCATCTGGGGGTGAATATAGTCATGATCACACACTGTCCCACTTGTCTTCTCCATGCTCCAGATCTGAGCTGCTCTCTCAGAGAATGGAGATAGGCTGACTGACAGATTACATTCCTGAATGTCATATGGAGCAGATCTATGTCAGCAGAGCCGATTGTGCAGACAGCTCCCTGCCTCTTATTCCTGCCCCTTATTCCTGAAGGTCTCAGATATGGGCAGGAATCAGGCTCGGAACTAGAGAGGTTTTTATGGCACAGGCAGCCTGTTCTTACCTTAACTGCTTTCCTTGGGTATGGGGTCCCACAGCCATTTCCTCTCCATCACCCCAGTCTGGATGCATGGCTGCTGTGTGATAGGGGAAGGCAGCTGGAAAAGGCAGTAGCCTGTCCTGGCAGGTTGTAGGCTTGGTTGCTGAGACCAGTTTTCTGTTTACCTCTTGCAGCTGTACCATTTGCAATGCAGTAGCCAGGACTACTGGGGGAGGAGAGGAAGGGTAGTGCTGACATAATACATGTTGAGATGATCATATTATGTCAGCACTACCAGGCGTTTTCTGCCTGATCTTTATGGAACTGCATCTGTACGTGCCGTGCAGGTGAATTTAAAGTTAAACACCTTAACATTCGAAGTATGCTCAAATTAAGGCTATTGGCTGTGGGATTCAGCTCAGAGACTCCAGACAGAGCTCTGTAGTCAAGAAGCAGGCTTGTGGGCTGAATGCTGTGTACACGACTCTTCCATTTTCCATGACTGAGTGATTGCTTGTCTGGTTTATGTACATTTCATGCAGTTTAGCTGTTATGTTGCTACTGCAGATACAAGGCCGCCAGCCTTTTGAAAATGAGTAACTATGGACTGACTCATAAGCTTGATTTTAGGTAAGCATCTTCAATATGCAACCTGATTTTTCAAAACAACAAGGAGAGCAGAAGTGCCAGAGGCTCTGTCCTCTTGGAAATGGGGCCCTGGCTTTAGGATCTCACTTGTCTAAAACTTTGACCTTAAATGTACATTACCCCTACACTTGTGTGCTGGATGGGAGTTACACAGCCAAATGCATTCTTTAAACAGGATATTACTCAGAGGTGCCTATCAGATGAGAGTCCGTCTGCTTTATTCAGTTCTCTATTTAATCAGGACATACTTAACCTGAACGGTGCTTTATTAGGCTGTTTCCCAAGGCACCAGATTAGCATAATGGTATTAAATAGTGGTGACTTCTGCCTAATCAGGGCAGAAAGATAATGTGTGTGCTTCTTCCCTTGCAGGACCTGGTCTGCTCAAGCTCCGTGGAGGTGGCTTGGAAGGTGTTGATGACTCTAAGGACCTTCCTGGAAAGAAATGAGGATGTCCTTGTCTGTGACCTCCTCCGGAGTCAGTTCCTACAGATTCTGCAGCAGCTGCTGGTAGAGAGCAGCTCAGCCTCCTTACAAGGTGACTCCCCTCTGTGACTTGGTCTTGCTTTAAGATCAACTAGCAGGGTTGATGGCTGAAGGGATGCAGTCTGGGATAAAGTGTTTTTGAACTGCTGATGTAGCTTCAGTACTTATCTGCTTGAGGAAATTTATGGACAGAACTGTGCTGGTTTAGTTTCCTTCTCCAGAGATTCTTGTTTTGAAGTGAGAGAGTCTTTTTCTGATTTAGGTTGTTCTGGCTTCAAACTGTGATTGTTAAACCGAGGCAAGGTTTTCTTATACTGTTGTAAGTGTTCAAGTGGAGAGCTGTGCTGGTAAATCTCCCAGCTTGAACAGGGGCTCAACTGGTGACTGAAAGACATCCTCCTTTTTGCCTCTTCTGTGTGCAAAACAGCTTGATGTGCCTGAGTACACTTGGTTCCCAGGGCACAGGGACCAGGAGCAGAGATTGTTTGAATCATTCATGATATTGATCTCCAAACAGCAACTGTGGTATTACCAGATCTCATAATTCTATTAAATCTCTCAAAGATTTAGCAGGGTTGTGGCTGAGTCAAATCCCTCTGTTTTCCTACTAAGCCCTGGCTGTGGAGTTGGGACTATTGGGACTGTTGTCCCATCATGAACAGTACTGTGCAAAGCAGTCTGTGAGCTTGAACTGGAAAAAGGGAGCAATGCTAGGATGTCCTTGGCTCCCCTGGGATAGGGGCCCAGCACAGCTTTTGCTTGTTCCTGAGGGGGCCGCTGACACTTGTAACAGCCTTGCTCTGTTTGGGGTGTTTTGCTGTGTGGCAGCTGGGATGGAAGCAACAAGAGGGAAAGTGTTTTTGACTTGCCTCCGGCAAAGTCAGTAGGCTGGAGAAGAGAGGGGTTGAAAGCGGGAGCATGGTAGAGCATGAGGCTACAAGGTTATGGATAAAGAAGGCAATGTTGGCATCTGCCAGATCTGATCTTGTTTGGAATTGTGCACATTTGGAGTTGTGGTGTCCCTCTGTCACTGATCTAGGGGTGCCAGGGGCTGTGGGGAGGGAGAGTGTCCATTTTCTGTTGCGGGTATCAGACCTATTCCTCCAAACCGCTGGTGATGGAGACAGGAGGCTGGGCTTGAGGGGCTTTTGCAAGATTAGAGCCCTTCTGCTGTGTCTAATATCCCCAGCTCCTCTTCATACTGCCTCTTTGAACTCGTTAGCTGAGTTACTGGCAGCCCCATCCAGAAAGTCAAACACCAGATGTACTCTGGAGACGTGACTTGCTTGTCTCCCAGCACACAGGCAGCTCTCTGTGAGGTCTGGGGCAGATAAGTCCAGGGGATCTGCATCCCTGTTCAAACAGTATCCTGCTCTTAGACAACAAGAAGGCCCAACAGTGGGACTCTATCAAGAGTATGTTAACATTAAAGACACCCGTAAATGTTTCCTCCTCAAAACTGAAAACTCCTGAGTAAAGGCATGTGAACACATGTGAAGATGTTTTCTGGAGGCGATAGTTGCTTGCTGTAGGTATGGCTATATACAATGCAAAATCTTTACCTGTTTACAGTGCTGCAGAAGAGTGAATATACTGGGGGAGGGTTGCCCTGGGGAGTTGGTGGTCTGAGCAGCTCCACTCTACTCGCGTACAGACCTGCCATTTGGGGCTCTCACCTCTGCTCTGGTCTCTGCTCTGCCCTGCAGGGCATGATGGACAGCATTTTCTGGCCTCACAAGATGCTGGAGAACAAATGCTGTGCAGCAGAGTGCTCTGGGTGCTGGGCTGCTGTCAAAGCATGGGCTGCCAGTGATGGTCAAGTAGATGGGAAGAGGGCAGTCTGCAAAGGGCTGGTGACTTCTAGCTTATTAGAGGTCAAATTGAATGTGCAGTACCATGCCCCTTACATGGTTCACTAAGGGTCTAAAAGACACTAGCCTCCTTTTCCCCCCTCTTTTCACATTGTTTCTAGAACGGTGTTGGTGGGATCCAGTGTGTAACTCAGGCCAACCCACAGTGGCAGAAAGGGGGCCTGATCCAGAGGGGACTGTCAAGATGAGAATTAAGTTGGGAGCGTGTGCGTGTGTATGTGTAAAAGGGGAATACTTCCTCCCCTAACCCATCCTCATTCCTGAGCTGCAAAATTAACAATTCTTGGCACACTTTAAGGTACAACAGTTTAGAGTTCACTGATAAGCTAAGCTTGTGCCCTTCTTAGCTAACAGGAACCTGCCTGTTTTGCTGAGCCTCCTTTTCCTGGTGCAGCTGCGGAGCAAGGGTGTGAGGGAGCTGGATAGCACAGACTTCAAGCTGCTTCACCAGGGTAAGTCTGTGTGTCCATCTTCTCCCAGGGGGCTTTGGTCTGTGTTTGTTAATTGTTCCATAAGATGACTAGGGGCTGGCTCTTTGCCCTTTGAGAGAAGGTGTACCTTGTGTTACAGTTATAGTTGCTTTGAGATACTTTCATAGCCAGAGCATTGTAAAGAGCCCTGGTTACCAGTTCAGTCAACAAAACCCAGGTTCTCTGCTTCTTGCTTTTACAATACATTTGTTGTCTGAAACCTCACAAGGTGGCCAAAGTATTCTCCTGGCTGTGACATGATTTCAGGGTCTGTGACTGTTGTTGACTTGGCAGTGACAGTATTGTTGATGTGCTTCCTGAAACATCCTTCCCCGTCCACACTTGCTAACACACTCCTGTGGGGTTCAGGCCACAGTGGTGTCCTGTGAACCAGCCATCAGGAACCAGCAGCCTAGTGAACCTGGGCTTTCCCTGGAGTGTGAGTCCAGAGTATATGGGTCCCAACCAGCTTCAGGACTTGCTCACTCCACCCCAGAGGCATGGAAGAGCAGGCTGTGTTTACTCACCATACTGTGACGTGCTCTCTTGTCTGGTGATCCTTACTCGGTGACTTCTCCCTTCTTACTTGGCTATTGGAGGTTCATGCAGGCTGTGAAAAAAGAATACTAGAGGGAAGTTCAGCTGATCCATCCTCTCATCTCTTCTCTGCTCTGACAAATTGATCTCTCCAGCAGACTTTGAAGGACTATCCCCTTCAATTTGAAATGTTCCATGTCTCAGGGCTGCCTGTGTTGCCCTTGTAAAGAAGCAGTGTTTCTCAGACATTCATTAGCCAAGGGAACTGGGGCTGTGGAAGAAGCATGTCCTCTTTATACCAGCCCTTTTTAGCTGCTGTGATTTCAGAGCACAGCTCAGCTGCTCCCAGGAGTCACAAGCTCCTTCTGCTCTTGCTTTCTGCTCTGTATTTTTCAACACAACTCTCTCCCTGCCCCAGCCACCCCCTTCATTCCCTGCTTGGCTCCCCAGGCTATGTTCTTCAGGGGTGGGTGTGCAGGGCAGACTCCTCTGATGAGGCTTACGTGAAACCAGCTTGTAGATGGAAGAGGGTGTGGGGAGGCGTGTTGATGTGTGTTTTTTGAGAATTGTTTACTCAGACTTTAAGCTCTTCAAAAGATCTCCTATGACAGTTTTGCTGAGCCCTGCAGTCCTGGATTTCACTCCCAAACTCTTGCTAAACATTGTTCTTAAGTGTTGGGTGCTTACAACAAACATGGTGTGTTTATTCCTAATGTGAGCAGAGTTGGTGAGAGTGGAGGAGCACAGCTCTCCGTGCTGTTCCCCAGTTTGGTCACCATGTAAGACAGGCACATGGCTGTTTATGTTTGACATAGTATTAGGATCAAACTCACTCTGTGGAAACAGATAAGTTACAGTCTGTTGCTCTTGGATTCTTTACTGCCCAATGTGATATATGCCCTTTAATATACCCTTTTCTATTCCCCCCTCCCCGTTGTCATCCTCCACTGCACCGTCCGGTCTAAAGCAAACACTCTAGGGCAGATGCTTATTGCTTTGTCTGTACCACACTCTGTTTATTTTCACTTCAGGTTGTGTCACTCTTGTCCAAATTCTCTCCCCACTGACTGACTTCTTTCTTGTGCTGACGTGCTCTGTTATGTTGGTGGCTGTGTTATGCACATTCTTTTGTTTCCAGTCAGTAATCTCTGTGGGAAATGCAGGCCGAGGGACGCTGACCTCCTGCAGCCATCCTTGAATTTTCTGTATTGGAGCCTTCATCAGACAACACCTTGTAGTCAACAGAGAGGTGAGGCAAGATTGTATTGATTGCTAAGTTAATCTTGGTGAGGTTGTAGCTTGGCCATCAGAGACTGTATTCTAACTGTCTCAGCAGGTAAGGTGGATTTTTCCCCTTCCAGTCGCAGCATTACAGTTAACAAAGACCATTTTGTATTTGGGATGAGGTTTTTTAGGTTGGGGGTTTTGGTTTGGTTTGGTTTCATTTCGTTTTGCTGCCTTCTGATGATTCAGGAATTGGCTGCTGAGAGACAGAACCATTGTATTTTTCTTGTTTGTAAAACACAGCAGTGGGGCTTTGGTGCCTTGTTTGAAATATCCTGCTATTGCCATGGTTCAAAAAATTAAACAATACTAGAGAATAGCTCTAACCAACCTTCCAGCTGCGTTTGCTGAAGGCTGGTCATTTTATTAGCTGGCCAAGCAGTCGCTTGTGCTGTGGAAGATGAATACCAGCGTAGCTGGACAGCCTTACTCTGATGAGCCGTGGCAGCTGGGGCTGCCTCACTGCAGCAGGGGTGTGCTCTGCACTTCTCTTCTGCTTGTCAAGCTGGTTTAACCTGTGCCATCCTGTCAGCCTCTCTGATTATGTTTCTCCCATGCAGCAGTGGCTGTGCTGCTCTCCAATGTGTCCTTACTAGAGCTCCTGCAGAAGGTTTTGGAGTGCACCTGGCTGCGGTCTCCTCCCTCTGAACCTGCTTACCTATCATCTGAGGATGCCTTGCTGTGCTCTGGATGGCTGTTGGCTGCGTCCCTCTTACTTTATCAGCATCGCTACAATACTGAGGTTAGAACCACTCTAGTGTTCAGATCCAGGGAATGGCTAAACCTTAAAAAAAAACCCCAAAAACCAAACTTGATTAGCAGAGCAAAGTGGTTTGCTTTGCCTGGAATCTGCTTGCCTTGGTTGCTCTCTTGTTATTGCCCACAAGTTATTTCCTGCTGCACTTCTCCAGCAGGACTGGTAACGAGCATGTTGCTGAAGGCTGAGACCCAAATCACTGTAGAGTTAGAGAGGGGCAGAAATCCTGGGGAAAAAAGTGCATACCCAGCCCTCCTGATCCAAATAATTTTCCTCTTCAGGACAGAGCGAAATACATTTTAAGGCCTTTCTCAAGGGAAGACTGGGGGTGGGAGACACAGCTCCCATGTTGTAAACTGCTTTTTTGGTACTAAAATGATCAATAGTGGAACAGTCACAATCCAAACCTATTATTGGCAAGTAAGTGTTCAATATTAGCAAGCTCATATGAATGTGGGCAGCTGTCATTGTATTTGATGCTCTGTAGTCCGACAAGAGAGCTAAGCTGGAGTTGTCAGCTGATGTTGGAATTACAACTTTGAGGGAAGCACTTTCTAATGCCAACACAAGGGGATAATGTTTCCTTTTGAAGTATCTACCCAGGCCTCTCTCCCTCTCTTGATACGGAGTTAAACAGCATGTCATGAGTTGTGAGCTCTGCTCTTGCAGTTATGCCCAGCAGAATATGTGCTTTGGGAGTCAGTGCACCTATTCACAGATGATAAAATCATATTAAGGACATGCGTGCATTTGCACAGAGAGGCAAGGGTTGGTTTTCTAATGCTGAGGGAAGACATTTTCCAAAAGGCCAACCCAGACCAAGTCTGCACCTGTTGCTTCACGGGTGTGCTGCCTCTGCTTAGGTCTTACAGCCTGGGACTTGTATGGACTGTCAGCTGTGTGAATGCATAGCAAGTCCTGCCTGTCCCTGCTCTATTAACTGCTGAGCACAATTTACCTTCTCAGTTTCCAAGTCAGGGCTGTGTCTGGGTGGTCAGTGTTGTGCCAGTCCCAAAAGGGATTAAATTCTAGTGGCTAGTGTTGAGCTTCATCTTCTGGGAGCGACTCTCTCAACTCGTATTGATCCTCGAAGTGCAATCATTTAATGGCTTATAAGCCTGTTGTTTGGCTTCATCAGTACCTTACTGGCTTGATGTGTTATGACCTGCAATCCAGAATCCTTCTTACACCAGAGATGGGGAAAGAAACTACAGATGCAGGTGGCAAATGGAAGTGGTTCAAGGATGCTTCAGCATTTCTGATCTTCAGCATTTCTAAGCTTCAGTGTTTCTAATCTTCTGCTGAGGGGGAAGGAGAGGGGATGAAAGGAAGAGTCACTTCTCTTGCTGCTTTCTGCTGCTCAGTATAGCTGAAGCTGCACAAAGCATCCTGGGGGCCCTTGTAAGAGAGCCTTTGGTCTTTGTGGCTGTGAATGTGAGCTGATGCCAGGCTGTCTCCCTGAGCTTGCAGTTTTTTAGAGGGGAACAATGGCTCTGAGAAGAGGCCACATTCATCTCAGCTGGTGTTAATAGTGAGGGCTTGTTTGGCCATAGCAAGCTTGCATGTTAAAGAGAGCCTTTGGTCTTTGTGGCTGTGAATGTGAGCTGATGCCAGGCTGTCTCCCTGAGCTTGCAGTTTTTTAGAGGGGAACAATGGCTCTGAGAAGAGGCCACATTCATCTCAGGCTGGTGTTAATAGTGAGGACTTGTCTGGCCATAGCAAGCTTGCATGTTAACTGTGTTACTGCAACTGGCTTTAGCAGAAGCCTGTGGATAAACATGGGTCATGGATGGTAGGCTATGAAAGGCTTTGGCTTGTCCGTTCTTAGACAAGTAACCACTGCCACCCTGTTGCAGGAGGTACTCCTAGCTCTCCTATTGAACATTTCTCTCTTCAGATGGTGGTTTGAAGGAATCAGCCCTGTGGTACTTATGCCTGCCCCCCTTGCCAACTCTCTGCCTTACTGAAGAGCTTGAACCCTTCTGGGGCTCTGTGAGGCTTTATGCCATCGCTGCTGAATGGCTGCTCTGTGAGGGAGACAGTGTATTGCAGACTGCCCTCTCAAGCCCACCTTTCCTGTTTCCCCTAGTTTCGAAGTCCCTAATCTGCTCTGCCTCCTTCACCCATGCCATAGTTCCTGGTCCTGGCCTCTCTGCAGGCTTCCCAGCTCCAGCACACAAGGCCAGATTCTTGTCATCACTGCTGGCTTTTGGCTGCCTGGCTTCTCAGTCTTGCTGACTGTGTGGGGCTTAGGTACAGCCGTGTTTGGTGATGGCTGTTCTGCTACTCCATGTGCTCGGCAGTCTGACAGCCGTGTGCCAGAGGGCCTGCAGGGAGTAGTAAGTGCGAGACAGGCAAATGAGCTGCACTGTGGTTTGGAAGGTGTGCGGGACTGGCAACTGGTGGTGAGCAAAACTTGAGGGCCTGTTGGTGTGACTCTCCCTTCTGGATCAAACTCCTGAAACCCTGTTCTGTTCCCTTGTTTTTCAATGGTCATCGTGGGGTAGCGTCTAAGGACTGAAAGTATGTAAGGGAGCTTTTTACCTGGTCCAAACCAGCACCATTTATTCTCTTATATTTCATTCTCCTCTAGGTTCACCAGACACTCTCTCTAGACCTTGCAGAAGTCCTGAATGCAGTCATCTTCAGGAAGAAGAAGCCAATCCTGCTGTTAGGTATTTTGCATTTGTTACAGGGATTTGACTGGAAGCAGCTGCTAGTACCATGCTACAGGCAACGAGGGAGAACTGGTGACTATGGGATGGAATGGTGCAGGTGCTGGTGGGAATCTGGAAGCTTTGGTCCATTTGGCTTTGGGAGTACGTAACTGGTGGTGAGAAAGGGCAAAAGGGAAATGTCGAGTTCTGCTGTGTTTGGACAAATCTTCCTTGGAGGTTGGTAGTGACATCTGGAACTGAGCATGAACTGGGATAGCGTCACAGGGAGGAGACAAACAAGGAACTCATGTTGCCATTCCTGCCTGCAGCTGTCAGGAGCTGCTGGGCAACTTCAGTGGGCCCTTAAGCCTAAATTTTCTCTCCTCATCCTCTCCCATGTTATTGCACAGGCACCAACACACAGGGCAAGGGAGAGGAAAACACTGACACACACTAATAAGCGGCTCCCTGTCTAGTGAGCATCATGCAGTTCCTGAGAGCTGTCCTGCGACAGAACTTCTCCTCCCCTCTGCTGGTGATCGTTGGCCAAAACACAGCCCAAGGTGCTACACAACCACAGCCGTCATCACTGCAGGATGCTGCCTTGCACCCCCTTGCCATGCGGCAGGTCTTCTCACTTGTTGTCAGTCTGCAGAACCTTTTGGTGCATGTCCAGTTGCAGGTATATAAAATATGACTTTTGGAACAATACCAGTGTTGTTGGGCTTCAAGCAGGTACAATAACCTGAGGAGAAACCACCCTGTTGCAGAATGTAAGGGGGCTGCCTTTTTTTTTTTCTTCTGCCTGCATTTTCCACCCCTTACAGACATGTGATGAGGAGGAGGGAAAATGCTCTTGCTGCAGCATGGCGCAGTGAGAAAGAAGGTAAATCAAGCTGTGTGGTACTCCCTGCTGCTGAATCAGATAGCTGAAATTCTCTGTACTAATGATGATCTCTGTTTTCCCATCTCCTGCTCTGCAGGGATGCCACACCCATAGGGACAGAGGTGGGAAAAGTGTAACAAATCCCAGTCCCACCGCCACGCCCCTGGCAAGGTGCTTTGGAGGGTAGTACATCAGTGTACATTTAACTTGCTCAAGTGATGTTGGGCTCCAGGGGATACATCAGCTTACATTTAACTCTCTTGAGCTATGTTGGGCTCCCATCTTTATTCTTTGGATGCTGTTACTTAATATTTTTTTTTTAGTCTCAGAATAAGTAGTTGTGCCTTTGTCTGGCTCCTTGACGTGACAGATAATTTGCAGCGTGTTGCATCCCATGAAGGAGATGAAGGGTGTTATTTTCCTGTGCTGCATGCTCTTCAGATCCTGCCACTTTATGAATTTTCCTTTTGCAATAGCTGTTGACTGTTATTTTTCTTCTTTTTTTCCCCCTCTTGGTATTCCAGAAAGACTTGCTGCTCTCTCAAGCCGTAGTTGCCTGCCTGGAAACCTTAGTGGAATACCTGTATATGAAGAACCAGGACGTTGGTAAAGTCTTCCTGCTCTTTCTTCTCCTGGGATTCCCTCCTGCAGTGATTTTGAGCTCTTTGATCTCCATCCAGTAGCGCCCTGGAGCAGATGCTTAATGAGTTTATGCCCAATAAGAAAAATTATTCATATGCCTAAAGTTAATCATGTGCTTTGTGGGATGAAATCACAGTGCCTGGCTCCCCTGCAGGCATGAGCCCTCACTTTGGCTCTGGACACCAAAACGCTTTCCAGCAGGAAAAAAGTCATCCCCTATCCCCCCATATGGTAAGAGTGAAAGGTTTAGGAATGGAGGGAGTATGGGAACAATCTTTCACTTCCAGGCCAATTATAGCAAATCTTTAGACCGTAAATACAGGGGAGAGAGGATCTGAATACGATGTGTCTTCCACATGGACAGTGTTGGTCACAGTTTGGCCCTGAGGGAGGGGAAGGGAGAACGGGGTACTAGACAACGTTAGGGAATGGAAGCTGGAAATTCTAGATTTCCAGGGGCAAATGCAGACCTTGGTTTCCAGAGTCCATGTCAGACCTAACATATACCATGTTAGCAACATCAGATAATATGACAGTCAGGGGAAAGAATAGACCCTTCTGCTTACTGTCAGCCTCCTGCCACAAAGTCCAGGTGCTGGCTCTGATCTTAAAACGGACAGCAAGTTCTCTGTACCCTGTCCTGTTCAATTCAGTCATTTAAACACTGAGAGAGAAGGGGATGGAGTGAATGAACACAAAAAGGGACATTGGTGGGAGAGAGGAAGTGGTTGAATGAAAATGTAATACTGCAGATGAATGACAGCCGGTAGCTGAAGGGAGGCTATTAAAAGGCTGGGTGAAGAAAGAAAAAGTTGGCGTGTTATGGGGAGGTTCCGCTGATTTGGGATTAAGCTAATGAAGTGCTGCTTCAGCAGCAGCTGAACCTGTCACTTTGACTGCCTAAATTCTTGCTGTGGTGCAGAAGTTCACAACAGCGATAACAGGAGTCTCCTTATTCCAAGCAGAATGAAGGTCATAGCTGTGTTTGACTGAAAGATGGAGAACGCTGCAAAGAGCGCGGCCTGGACCCTGCCTCTAGGAGTTGCCTCATTTGAGGCCTTCTAAAACCTTCTCTTGGTTCAGAGATTTTTCTGGATGTGCAGAGCAGGCTCAGTGCACAGTGCTGGCACCTTCTCATTTCCACCAGCTAAAAGATACCCCCAAACATTTTACATTATTTTTTAGTGTTGTTTTCCCATAGAAAAGATTCTTGTAGTGGAAATAGGGAGGTTACGTGACTGCCAGTGGAAGAGGGACCTTTCTGAAACTCTCGTGAGTTGCCATGGTGTAACAAGTTATATCAGTGACCTGTTGTAATTGTCCATCCCATGCAAGAAATCCACCCTAACCTGCAGTAAATACAAGGTGGTAACGCTTCAGCGTTCAGTGAGAGACTTCACGCTGTCACAGACAGTGACCTTGAGCCTTATCTCTGTTTATCATATATGCTCCTTATTAAGAACACTTGCTCTGCTGATTGTTTGCATTGCTGCCATCAGCCTGGCTGGTCCCTGTAGTATGCTCTTTGATGCAGATCCAGGTTCGGTTTGTGCAGCTAATGTTATAGGTCTTTCTTCATTCCCCAAAGGGTATTCTGCAGCTAAATAAAACCCGTGGTCAGGAAACTTGTCCTCATATTGAAACCAGAGGGTATTATTTTTGAAACCCTGGGCTAAAGATATCCCCTTACTATTTTATGACGTGCACCCCAGGAGAAGGTTTCTCTTCCTGTACCAGCACAAAAGATGGACAAAATGTATTTTCTGCTTTAAAAAGCTATTAAGCTTTTGTCCTCATGACTAAACTCTTGCCCAAAGAGTGACAGATTAAAAAGCAAGTAAGAACAGAGCAAAATATCCCTTTAGTGTTTCACAGCGTGGGGTCTAGAAGAGAAAACTTGGGATCAGTATTGAAGACTGTCCTTATCCGAGTCCAGCCTGTCACTTGGCCGATTTTAAAGCTGTCTTTGATTGGCTTCTCCTTCTCTCCCAGCTCTACATGTTGCTTCACAGCCCTGGCACCGATTCCTGCTCTTCACGCTACTCAATGGGGGCCAGAAGTCCTTTCTGCAGCCAGAAGTTCTCAGGCTGATGACTTTGGTGAGCAGGGGAAGGGCAGGGTGTTCTCCATTTTTCCAGTATGTTGGTGCAGTGCATGTGGGTCGGTTATTGGAACTTGCCCCCTAGGCACACACAATCTTAGATACTGCTGTGGCTTTGTCTGTCACTATGTTCGTGCCCTGTAATAATGATACTTTCAAGTGAACTTCCCTTCCGCACCCTGCAGAAACCAACTGCTGTTAGTGAGCCCGTCTTGTTCTTCTGGTGTTTGTAGCATTTATTTATATCATTTAGGACCCCTGGGGAGAAGAGGGGAAACCTGCAGAGAACATGCAACTGCTGTTGCCAGTCAGGGAGCATGCTGTGGCTCTCTGGAGGGCAGAGCTCTGCTTGGCATCACAGCTCGCCTCTCCGTCTTTGACCTTACAGACCTGACTTTTCAGGGCAGGGAGTTAACCACAACCTACTACCCTGCTGTACCTGAGGCCTGCAAGCAAGAGAGGGAATGTGGTCCTACCCAGCAGAAATACTGAAGATAAAGCCCTCATGGCAGTGGATGAGAGGAAGGGGTTATTAATGTGAACCTTCTCCCTCCAAATACATGATGGGCCTGTGAATCTTTGTTATTCTTATTTCACTTTTTAAAGGTTACCTGGTTCATTTCAGTTCCTTCCTGACATAAACCAAAATAAGTCTGGTTATAAATCAGATCACCGTCAACACGGATATTTGCACTGGTTCTATTAGAAGTGATATAAAAATCAGGCCTGTGGTTAAGGTGCTGCAGCATCCCATTCCAAGATGAGTCACTGTTGGAGTCTGTGGGTCTTTCACTATTTAATGCCTCTATTTTTTCCTTTGTTCAAGTTTCTGAAATATCAGAGCAGCAATATTATTTCTCAAAAAGAAATCAGCCAGATTCTCCAGGAGGCAGCAGAAGCCAACTTAGCAGAGCTGCCTGAGGCCACGTCTCGTGCTCTTCACCTCTTCCTTTGCCAGGTAAGAGAGCGGTGACTGCCTTGGAAAATGAGAAGGGCATCCCTGGAGGATTGCTTTAGCCTTTGATGAGGAGCCATAAACTTCCTTTGAGGAGGTTATAGTAAGATGAAGACGACTCCTGCAGCTGCTAGCTTGGCCTACTGCCTTGAGGGATGTACAGGGAAATCGGAAAGAGAGTGATGCCAGCAGCTGCCAAAACTGTGTCATCATATTGGGTGGCCCCTTGATTCCCCCCAGATCAAAGTCTGAAGGTCTAATTGTTCTGTGTGGAGATGAGGGAGGGAGGTATGAAGGAACAAGCCCAACAGTTTCCTGTTGGTCTGGAAGTCGTTCTTTCTTCTGACTGCTCAGATTCAGAGCAGTCATTGCCAGGTGGAGCCAGTGCAGTCAGGGACCATTCAGACCTTGCTGGAGCGCCTCCTGGGACAGAGGAGCACCCGTGTGAAACATCAGGACATTGTGTATCCTTTGCTGGGCAGATGCCTTTGATAGGTGATGTGAGGGTGGTAGGTGTAACAGAGGTAGAAGGGACACTTAATCCTTCCCTTGTTCCAGCTGAAGGCAAACAGAAGTGGAAAAAGTCCAAGCGGTTGTTACACTTGGCTAACTTTGGGATGAAAGACTTCATCATCCCCAAATTTGAGAAGACATTTGGGAAATGAGGAGACATTTGGGATGAAAGATGGGTGTCTCTGCTGGGATTGCATTCATCTTTATGGCAGAGATGGTCTGATGAAAGGGGAGCAGGCCAGGGAGCCTGTGACTTCAAAGCAGTAACGATCCCTGTATTGATTTCCCCGGGGGATGAACAATCACTTAACCTCTGTCTGTGTGCTAACCAGCGCCAGTGTGCCTGTGAAGTCGTGGAAACCCAAAGATGACTTAAGCACTTTCAAAGTACAGCGAGCATTTGGAAACTGCTGAGTGGAGTTACCGAATTGCGTTCTGCTTGGCCTTAGAGTCCTCTGCTGAGAACTGAGTCCTCCTCTTCTCCGTGGATGGGAGGCAGGGCCTGCTCCCAGATTACTTGTGGAGAAAGAGGGAGCCTGATGCAGTATTTGTTTATTTCTCAAACTGTCTGCTTTTGCCTTCCTGTTTTCATCACGCTGCATTGCCTCAGACAGGTAGCAGTGATGGAAGTGGCCCCGGCAGTGATTTCCTGTTGGGGTGGGGACTTCCTCCATTGCGGGACACTGTCATCAACCATGTGCAGGGTATGTCCTGGGTGAGGTGTTTGTTATCTGCGAGGAGTAGCTTGTCCTCGTGCTTACCCCCAGTGTGATGCTGCTGCTCTGTGGTGGGATGCTCAGAGCGCAAGTTGTTCAGGTGGAGACCATCCAGCCCCATGAAGTTCCTCTCCACTGCCTTTGCTTGTCTGTACGGGGGCGAGGGAAGGTAGAGAGGAGGTCTTGTTACATTGCTAAAGTGGCTCCTCATTTCTGGGTTTTCCACATATGAAGAAGCCTTCGAATCTTGGTTGTTAGGAGGGGTTTTGGATACGGTCAAAGAGCAGCAGTGGTGGCTACCTGAATAGGATAGTCGTGAACATGGAAGACAAAATCCTCTGGTCAGAAACAAGCTTTGACATTGGTTTTGTCAAGAAAGGGCTTTCTTGAGGTTCACCCATACTGATGTTTCTCACACGTGTTGGGGGGGTTTCCATGGCTTGGGGGAGGGTTGGTGTAGTAATGAAAACCTCCTGTCAGCAATGTGTCAACTGTGGGAATTCCTGTAGCACGCTGGAGTTTCAGCCATGCCTTCCCTTCGGTTTCCGCTCATGCCGTCAATGACAGATGTCTGGGAAGTGTGGCAGTGTCCCTCTCACACATTGGAGACTGAAAAGAGACAATACGGTGCAACGCAGCAGAGGAACAAGGCAAGACTGGAACAGGAGACCCCATCCTGCCTTTTATTCCCAGTGAGTAGTGGAGAGAAGATGGACGAAGGAAGTCATTTGTAGCTCATTTTCAGAAAAAGGTGTGTTGAAAATAATTTATAAAGCGTGGTTACTGAAATGGCTCCTCGTTTCCTTTTCTGTGTGGGATGAAGCTTGGGTGATGCTCTTCAGTTATCAAAATGCAGAACTGCCTGGTGCAAACGATGTCGTACACGGGTGGCAGGTACTATGGAAGAGGCGCTCTGCTCATTGCCTTAGCTGGTGGTGCTGCGGGATGGCCCCTTTCCTCTGGGCTGGCAGGGGTGTTTGGGGGGCTCCGGCCAGGACCCCTGGGGAAGCAGATATGCTGCTTGTCCCACTGGGAAGAGGAGACTTCAACCAGTTCACGGATGATCCCCTAGGCTACAGCCCCAGACCCCCGGTTGCCTCTTGCCTCCAAGCCCTGTAAGCGCCCCTTTCTCGTTGGGGCTTTAATTAACGAGGTTCCTTCCCTTGCAGAGCCGGGGGAAACCCTCCCGCAACGGGAGCAGTCCGGGGGGCGCGGGGCCCGGCTCCCTCCAGCCCCGGCCGCCGGTTCCCCGG